ATTGGTACCAGATTTGTCTAAGCTTGACTTGAACACTGACGTGTACATGGGTTGGCTCCTGCAAGTCATTGTATAGGCCACATCGCTCTAGTAAGCCACTGCGATTCTAAGTCGGAATGCGTGCCGAAACCCAAAAAGGAATTGACTAACGTCGAAGGTTTTACCCTTCCTGCCCTTTATTTATCCGGCGCAGTTCGGGCGACGGGGTGGAGGGGGAGGAGGGGGGGGGGGGCATTTTGCACTTTAACGACTTCCCATCGACGTGTCGACCCATCTAGACAGCCTCTTCTCGAGTTGACAGGTTTACCATGATGGCTTGACGAGCTTGCTCCAGCTTCACAAGAGTTCCCACTTCACCAGAGTGAGCTTGTGAACCGGAACTAGTGAAGCAAAGAGTGTGATTCCCCCCCCCGTCGCCGAACTGCGCCAGCAATATCAATAGTTAGCATGAACTCGTAAGTACGTAGATGACTAAATAATACATCTCAAACAGATTCGTGCGTATCGACCTTTCCAAACCCTGAACAAACATCTGCTTGCATGGACAAAATCACCAAATCAGAATTTACACCTTTCCACCACCTCTGCGTAGAGGCGTAATGCACGGCGTATATTCTTTTTTCTTTTCTTTTTTCGTTATTCTTTTTAATTTAACGACTTCGGCACGGGAATTCTGCCTCGACCTCTGTTTTGCTGCATTTATTTCTGAGAAAGTTCTCCAATTTGATGTTTCCTTCCCTTTTACTACATAACAATTTTTCAGTTTCCTTGGCAACGAGGGAGAACCGGAACACTACGAATTGATGTTCCAAGTGAAGGACTACTGCTTTGCTCGCGAGGATAGAATCGTTGGAGTTGGTGTTCTTCAACTGGCGAATGTCGTCGAACAAGGTGAGCAGGAATTTGCCAACAAGATTCCAAGCCTAATCATATTTTAAACCCTGCGATCGGAATTCAGTAGTTTACCATATATTCTATCTATATACTTTGAAGTAATTTAGGTGTTTAGTTTATGGTCGCGCTGCTGCAAACGCGGGGGAGTAGATGTAAGGAACGGCTGGGGTTTCCGGCCGGCGTGCGCTATTTTCCAGCCAATGTTTGTCGCTAGCGTTCAACAAGTATGGTGAGAATACGGGATGGGCGTCGCTTCAAATCCCCTGCCATCCTGCCGTGGTACGCCGCTAGCGTATGCAGCCAAAACAACTGTACATCCAATTATAATATAGTATGGTAAAGGTACTCAGCCGGAAACTGAAAGCGCAATAGGCTTGAGGTCTTGGTTTGGCATCTAGATACGATCGCGCCTTTGCAAAATTGTAAGACCGGCTTGCCGCACGCTCGCATTTCTAAGGTGGAGTGTATGCGCAAATAGGTGGAGTCGGCCTCACGCACAGCTCTCATTAAGAGTGGCATTTGAGGTGCTAAGCAGGTGTCTTAAGAGACGTAAGGTGGATATTCTGGGGGAAAGAGGGGCTTTGGCCACTCGTGGGCTACACATCCGAGTGATAAGTATTTTCTGTTTTGGTGGGGCGGGGGGGGGATGTGGAGTTCAAGCGAAAAGGGAGGTGCAGAGAGGCGGTAAGGAGCAGGTTTGGTTTGAGTTGCACGAGGCTTGAGTGTGGCTATTTTTGGCTGCATGACCTGAACATGTCGTGTTGCCGGTCGGATGTCCGCCTTTCTAGAGTAGGTAATGTATTAAGAGCATCCCTTTCACTGCACAAGTGCCGCAGATGTGTTATTTTGGGGATCTAGTTAATTTCTCTCCTTGCTAGTATATGAGAAACTTTCATTGTGGTAGCCGTTCCTTAAAATAACTGTAGATAACTGGCAATTCCGAGAATGTTTTTGTACTACTGAATCAGTTCAGTTGTCAACTCATACTAACAGCTAACACTACATTTTTCAAAATAGTTATATCCTGTCCTTTAGCACAGCCACATTGAGAACGCACATTCCACGGTAATTGTATAGGCGGAGACAAAGAACTACTATGCAGTCGTCATTGGTGCGCCCTTTCGCCTAAGGCGGGACAGAAAATCAATCACCAGTGAAACGGTTCTTTGTCTCCGCTCTTATGATCAGCGCGGAATGTGCCTTTGAATAAGAGAGGCATCTGCCTTCAGTATGTGTTTTCTAGTGAATTTCCTAGTTATTCAAACTGTTACTTTAGGTTCGTGTGCCATGTGGGTGCAACTCGGACAACGACTGCACATTGATGAGACGGGCCTGATCTTGCTGAGGATACTGAGTCAACGGCAAACAGATGAGGTGAGTTCTAGCAGTTTGGGACAAGATTTTCCCTAGTAGTCCAATGTGGGGAAAGATGTACAAAGTCTCATGCACTTTGGGACGCCCAAGTTGCGGTATGGCCCCAAAACTAGCTACGCATTTACTAGCTAGTTGACTTGACACACTTTAGCTTTGTCACGTTGAACCATTTGGGCCCCCTAGCGCGAATGCTCATGACATCGTTTGCCACTCTTCTTTCATTGTCCTCCTTGCAGTTGGAATGTTATGATTTCCACCCTCCAAAGATACATTCCTCGATCAGCGGGATGGGCGGGGACTTCCAGTTATGATGCCCTCCTCATTGGCAGCGCTCTCTCATTACCGCTAGTTTGTTTAGGAAGACGAGGCCGTAATCGATGAGAAAGGCATATGAATGTTACGGTCTCCGCCATTGGTTTCGGGTGGACTGTGTCCTTTCGCGCTGACGGACATAAAGCGGTAGATTACGGTTTTTATCCGATAATATCCCTTACAAATCTGCCTGTACCGAAACGCTCCTATTATTTCCATTTTTAGGTGCACGTGATTTTGTCCGGTTAAAATCGGAATGTCGTCATGAGACGGAGAGCACGTTGACGGCTTCAGCCAGCAGTCAAAACATCGCCCGATGACATTACCAAACCATGATTGATCAACTGACCATCGATCAATCAATCGATAGTCTGGTTTCTCGGGAACTAACTAGAAATGACCTTTATATATTGCGGGAATATTTTTTGTTGTTGTACATCTATAATACAACAGTTGTTGTTGTGCTATCACATACGTGTATGAAGACCAGTGATTCCTTCATTAGATTCATTCATTCATTCTTAGCCACAAATGCTCTCTCAAATCCTGGCAGTAATTTTTTCATTCCCTCTGGCAGGAATTTTCGAAATTTTGTTTAGAAAATTTATCCTTGATCTCCATAAATTTCCTCCTTTCAGCATAATCCATCTGGGCCTAACCCTCTAAAAATCATCAATCCGCGGAAAATCCGGCCAGAACTTTATTGTAGCGCTCAGCGGTCCATTTTTGTGGACTTTTTGCGGGATTAATCCTCTCCCCCTCCACCCCATTTGGTATAGCAGCCTCGATAGAACTCTTATAGAACTGCCAGTGGGGAGATTACTGTCGTGTTACTCTGTAATGTTCTCAACGTTTTTCAAATAATGTTCCTTATATTCAGGATTTCACAAAGCCTATTTCCAATTGCTACAGAGGACTATTTTCATGTTCATGTGATTTTAAATCTATACAATTCGCGTTATTTAATATATTAATAGAATAGCCGCAAATGATCCTAGATTTACCAACGGTAATATGGGGAACTATTCTGTAAGATTTGCTATCTATTCCAGTGCCTTTTTTAATCGTAATATAATAAATAAAATTTTTGTGATATTGTTGTCTCATGTGGTTTTACACCATTTTATGTTTATAAAGTGTAAATACAGAAGACAAAAGCGGCAATCAAACAGTTTATTACTGTTTATTATTTTGAAGTACTTTTCTGATTACCGGGGTGGGGAAGGCGGTGAGGGGTAGTGAAGAAGTCTTTCTTCAACGCACGTAAGACTTCCTTTTTCAAAGTTATATCAGTTATGTGAAGAATAGGTAAAAGCATTGCTGCACAAATGCACGCGGCTATAATCTA